AAAAAAAAAAAAGAAAAGAAAAAGTGTATTTCTTTAATAAGTTACAATCTGTTTCCCTTGACTCCTTGGCTGGAAAATTCAGGGTCAAATTCAGTACTCAAATGCAGTACACAATTATTTTCAATGCATGATAGCATCTATTTCTCTGCTTCTTTTAATTAGTTCCTAATCTTGATCTTGCCCTTTTTTACACTTATTTTTGTAAAGCAACCTGAAATTTTGTTTGAAATTCTAAAATAGACTGTTTCTCTCTTGAAGAAACACATTCATTGAAAAATACATTTGGGGGGAAAATCAGCCACTATAATTTTTATTGTCTTGGCTGATTCAGGAATGAAAAAATGTTATTTCTTTAATGTTTCAAGTTTGGATTGTGTGGTAATAATAACATAAAATATTTGCAAATATCAAAGCCTAAACTTAACTTGTATTGTACATAAGTTAAATGAGGAAAAAAACCACTTCCCTACCTTTAAGGAAAGGATATAAAAATAACCAAATATTAAAAAGCAAAACTAGAAGACTTCCATGTTCAATAAAAACAAATCTACTCCTTCTATTTACTGAAATGCTGCTGTGATTTTCTGACTGTTCAGTTGATACACTTGCATTTCACTAAGCAGGCACTTCATGGGGGTTTGTCCATGGCAATGAGACATACTATATCTTACAACAGCCCTGCTTCAAATGTTACTTTATAAAGTCAAAATGAGCATTAAAGGGAATCACGCAGCCACATTTTCTGTTGCTAACAAAACCCATCACTGATCAGCAGGTCAAGACAAGGTGAGCCTGGCTCCCCCCAGCTCAGTTTACAGCCCCTTTCTGCTGACAAAGCGGCTTCCTGCAAACCATCTCCACCATAGCAGAGCCACTGTCAAGCTGTCAGCCAAGCATGAGGACCGAGAGACATCGGGATCTGATAAAGGCAATCCTGTTTTCCAGAAAATTAAACCAAATAACCCAATGTCTGGTTCACTTGACCTTTTATTTTCTCTGAAAACATTTTTAAATAGTATGACTCTATAAGCAACTCGGTATATGATCACAGGTTTGTTATTGTTTCTAATCCATTGAAACTTTAAGCAGTTGAACACCATAAATTTGTATTTTGGAAACAAACAAAAAAATGTATATAAAAGTTGTAGTCAAAGAAAAAAATCAGAGTTACAGAAAGACTGCCTAGTAATTCACTAAAATTATTTGATTTTAACTCTCTAGTAAAATGTAGACATCAAAAAGGCAAAATTCAATCAAAATTATCATATTTGTCCATGCATTTACATAATGCCATTACTAAATGAGGCACTAGGAAATGGCGTATGTGTACAGGCAATGTCCCTAAGGTTTCCTTGTCAGGTACGCTGTGGTGTATACATTCTAACCACTGTCTTACTACTGGCCTGTGTGACATCAGAATATTCAAGCTAGCCTGGCTGGGCGGGGCTCAGCGGTTGAGCATTGACCTAGGGTCCAGGAGATCGGGGTTCGATTCCCGGTCAGCGCACGTGCCCGGGTTGTGGGCTAGGCAGCCGATCAATGACTCTCTCATCACTGATGTTTCTCTCTCTCTTTCTCCCCTTCCTCTCTCTGAAATCAATTAAGATATGTTTAAAAAAAAAAAAGAAAGAATATTCAAGCTAGGTCAGAGATTGACCAACTATTTCTATAAAGAGCCAGACAGTAAATATTTTAGGCTTTGTGGCCCAGATAGGGCATCTATAAAGTGTTCTTCCTCCCTCCCACCTTTGTCTTTTTTAAAAAACAACCCTTGAAAAACATAGCCATGGTTAGTTCCTAAGCCTGTACAAAGAAAGGCTGGAGCCTACTTGGGCCCAGGTGCCAAACTCTCAGCATAATATTTACTAATAGAAAAGACTAGGAAGGGTTAGGGTAAGATGTATTAATAATTTAAATTTATGAAGAGCTTTTCAAACATTTAGTTTCTACTTCTTATTCTACCAAATTTTTATGAGTGGCTAAACATATATAAAGTACATTTAAACTGTTTAGGTAATCTGTGATTCCTTTCCTTTCTCAGTTATACTGGAAAAAAACAAATAATAATATAATTGCAACTACTACATAGAAGACTAACAGGTATAAAGGATTTTCACTTAGATGATTGGATCTTACATAACCATACTTGCCTAGATTATCTTCATACATTAATATGTATGTAACAGAATGTGCCCAAAACAATCAGTGTGGCTCACACCAGCTGAAGTAGCTATAATAAAAGTAACCAGGAAGGGGGCACCATTAAGCAACATGTGTTTAGTTGTCAACTATATAGGTGACAAGTTTAACGGGCAGTCAGGGAAATGGTCACCGAAACAAAGGTGGCAATCAGATGGCACTGATGAAGTAAAGAAAGCCTGTAATGTTGTGAGATGCTCCACAAACATCAGTGTAACCTAGGAGGACTGCTGTGAGCAGTAGCTGGTACGAAACCCTAACTCATCAAGACTTCAAGGAATTGGAAGAGAATGGCAGAGAGACAGCCATGGAAAAGTGAAAGTATGATGCTAGAAATATTTTTGTAGGATACAGTAAAGAAAAACCTATAATAAACACACTGAGGTTAACATGGGCAGATTAGTTATGCCAGACACACTTCTTGTCAAGTTCTAATTAAAATACTCAGGGATACACACAAGAAAAAAAACTGACCACAGCATAAAAACTTAAAAGATAAAGAACCACACAAGAGGGTAATAGCTACTATTGATACCTGGTTGGGATAGACTGAAAAACATCCTTGAACTTTGTATGAAATAGTCCACTCAATCAAAGAGAAGAACACAGAAGATATCAAAAAGGGCCACATCAGGTAATCTAACAACACGATTTACAGTGAGAGCTTTGGTTCATTCGGTATAAGCACAACCTCCAGAGGGACTGGAGAGGCCAGCCATTGGGGCAGTTGACTGTGTCTATGTAACGGAGCCCCAGTAAAAACTGTGCACACCTAGGCCTGGGTAAGATTCCTTGGTTGGCAATACTCCAGGCACGTTGCCTCACCCCATTACCAGGAAAATCAGTGCTGTCCATGATTCCACTTTGAAAGACAACTAGACACTCCATGCATGAACTTTCCTGGACCAGCCTTCCCTTGGCTGATTTTAATCTATCTTTTTTTTTTTAATATATCTTTATTGATTTCAGAAAGAGGAAAGGAGAGGGAGAGAGAGAGATAGAAACATCACTGATGAGAGAGCCATTGATCGAGCCCACAACCTGGGCACGTGCCCTGACCGGGAATCGAACCCTGATCACCTGGATCCTAGGTCAACACTCAACCACTGAGCCACGCCCGGCCGGGCTTAATCTATCTTTTTGATGCAGTAAACCATAACTGTGAGTATTACAGCTTCTATTGAGTTCTGTGAGTCCTCCTAGCAAAATATCAAACCAGTTGGTGGTCTGATAATATGGAATTGCCCCTAATTTGGCAGTTATTATTATTACATTTTAATATAATGCCATCAAAATAATCCAAGCAACCAAAGTTACAAAGTAAACATGTTTTTCATACAAAGGAAAACTGGCAGAATCAAAATTAAAGAGGGAGATTTGTCTGACAGGTTTATTATCAATAACTTAGATTTAAATAATATAGTTAATCAGGCATTAATAATATATCTATCAAACAGTGTGCCCTGAAGAGAACATGCCCCACTCCACCTATTTTCATCTTTGGCACAGTAACAGAAAATTGACATACATTAAAAAATACATTTGGCCCGGCTCAGCGGTTGAGCGTCGACCTAGGATTCAGGTGATCAGGGTTTGATTCCTGGTCAGGGCAGATGCCTGGTTGCGGGCTCAATCCCCAGTCGGGGACATGCAAGAGGCAGCAGGACAATGACTCTCTCATCACTGATGTTTCTCTCTCTCTCTCTCCCCCCCTCTCCTTTCCTCTTTCTGAAATCAATAAAGACATATTAAAAAAAACTAAAAAAAAACCTTTGTTTTCATAATATCGTAAGACAAAAACTAACTTTAAAATACAAGTCTACAACAAGCAATTAGATCAAAAAGGAAAAGTAACATTTCAAGTTTTGAAAACATAAAAATGGCATCACTAAAGAATCCATGTAAATAAAGGAAGAAGAATACACAAATAAACTGAGTTGATAATGAGAAGGGCCTAGAACATAAATTTTATTTACTTTTATTTTTTAATTTATCTTTATTGTTGAAAGTATTACAGGTGTCCCCCTTTTGTCTCCATTGACCCCTTCCCCCACTTAGAACATAAATTTTAAATAACTTAAAAATTATAATGCAATGCTAACAAACATGAAACTCTTGATAAAAGAGAGAATTTCAGGAGAACCCAAACAAAAACAAAACATAGAAAGCAGAAATTTCAAAATATATATCTATCTCCAACTGCCAGTGGCCTTCCCCCTTGAACCCACTGATCCATCAGTGTCCTATGAGAAGAACAAGCAGGCACCAATGGCCTCCTGATGTGATCAAGCAGGAAGCACACATTACCATGTGTGGACAAAAATCCTGAATCTCACTAATGTCCAAATAGATAAGTCCAAAACAATATAACAGAGACTAAAATAAGTTAGATAACACCATGAGAAAGTAATCAGTCAAATCCAGACTATGAGATATCCTACAAGACAAACAACCTTGTTTCTTCAATAAATTATTAGCATAAAACAAAGGACAGGGTAATGAGGTGAGAGGGTTGTTTTAGTTTAAAAGAGGCTTAAGAAATTTAAAAAAACATATGAAACACCTGGACCTTATTTGGATCTTGATTTGGCCAAGCCAACTTAAAAAAAAAAAAGTTGGAGGATAACTGGGGAAATCTGAATATGAATTGGGAGTTAGATGAGATTAAAGAATTATTGGAACTTTTGTTAGCTGTGATAATGGCACTGTGGTTATGCAGGTAAATGTCCCTGAGGGGTGGGGCTCATGCTAAAGCTCACAGGACAGAAATGTCATGCTGCTTGAGGTTCCCTGCATGAGACAAGAAAAACACAAACCAACCTACCAACCCTGACGAAGCAAGCAAGCGTGGAAAAATATTAACAACTGCTAAATCTAGATGATAGGTAGACAGGATAACTGTACTATCCTCTACTTTTAGCATGTTTGAAATTTATCAAAATAAAAAGTAAAATAAATTACCTGAGCAATTTATTAGCTCTTTCAATGTATTAGCTCTTTCAAGTTTCCAACATATAATTCCTAATCTACATAACCCATTTCAAAGTACATCATATACATATAAAGATTCATATGATTCTGTATAACTTTAAAACCAAAACATGACCAATAATTAGCATTTTAAAAAATTATACATCAGCCGAGATGGTGTGGCTCAGTAGTTGAGCATCAACCTATGATCCAGGAGATTCCAGGTCAGGGCACATGCCACAGTTGTGGACTCAATCCCCAGTAGGGGGCGTGCAGGAGGCAGCCAATCAATGACTCTGATCATTGCTGTTTCTATCTCTTTTCCCCTTCCTCTCTCTGAAATCAATAAAGACATATTTAAAATAAATAAATAAATAAAAATTATAGATCAATTTCACTTCAGACTATAGTTAAAAAAGAGCTACTAATAAATCAAATGCTACAGTATATTAAAATACCCAAAGGATTAATCTAAAGAATACAGATTCTAACATATACAACTTTATATATATTTCCAATTTTGTAATATGTACTCATATAAACTAAGGGAAAGAACCCCAAAAGGAAATACATCAACATATTAATGTGATTATCTCTAGAATGGAATGATAATAGTTCTTGCTTATTACTCATGTTTTATATTTTTTGTAATATGTAATTCATTTACCTAGAAAAGTAGAAAAGCTAGGTATATATGCCTAAAATTTTCAAATTTACTATTAAAATCATTTTCTATATGGAACTGTCAGTTACTTACTAGTAGTTGGTCAGCATTATCTTGGTTACACACCCAAGGATATGTTTTTATTGATTTTGAGAGAGAGGGGGGAGAGAGAGAGAGGGAGGGAGAGTGACAAACATCAATGCGAGACAGAAATATCGACAGGTCACCTCCCATATGCGCCCCAACTGGGAACTGAACTGGCAACCTGGGCATGTGCTCTGACTAGGAATCGAACCTGCCACTTTTTGGTGCACAGGACGATGCTCCAACCAACTGAGCCACCTGGCCAGGGATCTTTGTTAAACTTTTAAGTTACTAATATACTTCTAGGGCAAATGTCTAATAAGTGAGACCACATAAATTTAATACACAAAATAAAACTTCTTAAAATCTAACAAGAGTGAGGCCATTTATAGAAGTAAAACCATAAACAAATAAGTACAAATATATGTGTACATACAAATATGTATATTTAACAAAGGGTAGACAGAAAAGTCAAACACATGTTTTTCCTAAGTGAAATAATTTTAATAATAATAATCCATGAGAATGGCTAATCTATATGGCAAATTATCATGTGTATAGCTACGAGACATATTAACAACTTAACTCTACTTGATAGCACTAAATCTGTCATATATGCTCAGATTTCTATTGTTGACATAATAACACTGACAACTTAGAATATCAATAAGCACAAAGAAAGAAAAGCACACCATCAAAAAATATGGGGTATAGAATATTTATCAAAGAGAGTACCTAACTTCTCTGTTCCATCCTAGGCACTCACATTTTACTCCTTCAAAAATGTAACTTCTACCTGCAAGGAAAGACCTGTGCCAGGTGCACATTTCATTCATCAGAAGTCAACTGTGCATGCTGCCCTAGGAGGAAGGGGCTTTAAAAATAGTCAAAGAATGTTTGTACTTTAAGAATACAAATTAATTTAAAAACAGACTTTCTGAATAGAAGAAGGTGTGGCCTCCTTGTCCAGTCAGTAGTTAGCTATATAGGTACCAGGTTATAGGTGTCTTCGCCTTTTAAAAGAATCGGGCTAACTTTTATGAATACATTTTATTTTTCACTAGATAAACAATAAGCTGATTTCCATTAAAGGCAGTTTTAGGGGGGGAAATCTACCTAACCTCTTTCCCTGAAATTTCTAAACTATGTAATTTCTATTTAATAGTTTCCCTTGCATATACAGATGGTGACATGCACGTGAACAGTTAAATATTGCACGTGGGACTGGTGGGGTGATGGCTAAAAAGAATGACACCTCACTATCAGTCCCCAAACCACACAATGGGTCACATTTACAGAATCAGTCACGTGTAAGATACTGATGACTTGGATTTTTAAAATTCTAGACTTTCACCCGTTGGGATTTAATCTCTTATTGGCCCTAGAGACTGGGCATTGTGGAGGCAAAGTGGTCTCCTATTTCACACACGTACCATGTCTACAAAAGCCTCAGAGACAAATATTTAAAGAACCAAGCCTTCAAAGAGATTCCAGCCTAGTCTGCAACAAATATTTATGGTACATTTTAGATCTCTACTTTTATAAATACAGACCAAATGTCACACCCTGTAAACACTCTGCAAACGCAGTGTCAGGTTTCTATGAGAGCCACAGGCAGATGGCTCTGAGGGCCACCTTACCTGAGAGAGCATCCTGGGCCTCAAAGAACGTGCTAAGACCCCCTTTCACACACGCCAGGCTGCCCTCACTCTTCTTGTTCGCCTGTCTCTTCAGGGTGGCCGCTGCCATTTTGAGCCGTTCAAAACTGAAATGAAATAAAGAAACCGAAAGTCTGAAACTCCTAACAAGCAAGAGAGAAATAAGACAACACATTAAGTATAAAATACTGAAACCCACATTAAGAAAGATACAGACTAATATAATATGTAACCAGATGAAAACAAAAGCTTTCAAATTCTTACCTAGAGCTAAAACTTTTATTGTGAATGCCAAAATTACAGCAACTAGAAAAGAGATTAGCACCCCTCAAGTGGTCACTCCAAATACAGAAGACCCTTATGAAGTAAACATACATGTAGATATTTTTATGACCAATATATAGCAGCATATATATGCCAGGTAAGGAGTTCTGAATATCATCTCCCTGCTGTTAAGGCCTGGATCATGCAGTGGTTGGAAGCCATCTAAGGAGGATCTTCTCTGTACGTTCACCTGTATATTCTGGACACAAGTGAGCATACTGTCCTTACCACATCAACAGCCAGTCTTGCCATTAGCAGTGAAATTACAGAAAAAAATGGGGGAGCTTTTCAACTCACAATCTAAATAACTAAAAAGACCACAATATTTTAGCTCTACATCTCAAGCAGAGAAAACAATAGGTAGTTCTCTGTATTTCAGAATTTTTATTTCTATTTGAGATAAGAAATTTGGCTATAAAACTTTGACTATATGGAGTGTCATGATAGCCATACACAGAAAGTAGATCAATTCTGACCTATGGTAATAGAAAGTGCACATCCATAATGTAAAATTAGAAGCATCTCCTATAATGAAAGATTTCAGACATTTGCTTTAAAAATTTATCAGGCTGAATTTATTCTATGTATATACCAACTTTTCCTCATGTTATCTACTACTGGTTTTCCTCCCAATAGGTGAAGAATTTCTCCTAAATTATACTTTAACAAGTTGAATTTTCAAGAATATAAATTTTAAGCAATATTACATTCATTAAAACATTTTTATTAAATATAATTGTTTTCAAAGTCTTGCAAAGAGTTAAAAACCTGATCTTGTAGAGAGTGGGTAAAACGTAATTAGCAGATAAAAAGGAGTACTTTAATTTTCAATATATGACCTTGTGTATTTTTTGCCTAATTTTAAACCGAGTCTTTGCAAAATGATAAACCAAGTCACCTTCCTTTGCTCTATGGTCTGGAAGTAGGTGTGATTCCTACTTTACACCAGGACTTGAAAGTTTTGTTATTTGCGTAGAGAAAACTCACAATTGGGCACATCAGTTTAGCTACCCAGCTGAGACTCCACAAAGTTTTAATGGGTTGCACAAATAATGAAACTGACAGAAACAACATGAGAGTAAGAAATAAGGGCCCTCTAATTAATAATCCCATTTTATAAATAAGAAAATAGGTACCCTGAGATGTTCACGTGCTCTGAAGTGGCAGAGCCAGATCTAAAACCCGCATTGCTGTACAATCCTATGAGCTGCACTCAAGTGTAACGATGCATAGTCAACAGTCCCACATAACTAACCTGGTGGTTGAGTGGTTCTCTATGAGGTACCAGGCAGCTGAAAAATTCTCACTTGTAAAATCAGCACTCATTCCAGGAAAGAGCATTTCCAATTCCTTCTGGGGAAATTTACTTCTGATGGAGAAAAAAGGTTACAATATATTTCAAGTTCTACTACTTACAAAGATGTAGCAGACATCCAGGAATGCCTAGTAGAATGGATATGAATATAAACCATTATGATTATTCATCTACATTATGAAGCCTGTATGTGTGTACAAGATACACTTCCTACACTTCAGCGGATTTCTTATATATCTATTTTGATTATATATATGATAGGAAATTCATTAAAATATAGAAATTACATTAACACTAGAATATAAGATTTAAAGAGACTAAGCTGATGCTTTATAAAAATCTATCCAAATATGAAATCAGTCCCTAATCAATGGGTAAAAATAAAAATCTAGATACAATGAAATTTAATAATATTAAATCAGTTTGTTAAAAAAACTTTAAAGCTGTTTTAAGGCATACCATGTTCAAGTCTGAAATAATTTTAAGAAAAGCTTATGATAACAGGCAATACATTATCTGCAGCTCACTTTAATACCTACTTTTTTTTTTAATCCTCAGCTTAGGATGTTTTTTTAATTAATTTTCGAGCAAGGAAGGGGTGGGGGGAGAGAGAAAGAAAGAGAGGGAGAGAGAGAGAGAAACATTAATGTGAGAGAAACATCAATCCATTGCCTCCGGTATGCAGTCCAAACCAGGGATCAAACCCGTCACCTCCTGATGTATGGGACAATGCTCCAACCAACTGAGCCACAGTGGCCAGGGCTCTTCCCTATATTTTTAATGTCAACTTCTGGATCAACTCACTTACGTATTAGTTCAAATACTAATTAAATATCTACTATAGGTCAGACTCCATGCTAGAGGTCAGACAGTTGTGTCAGAGAGCAACAGTAACACGGGGAGCCCTTGCCCAAAGACGGCTTATTAGCTAGCAGCCCTAACTACACCCCATCCTGCCCCTGTGCAGAATGAAGTCCAAGTTCTGTAGCCAGTCTCTCCATGATCCAAACCTACTTACCTCTCAGGACTTGTACCTACCACTCTCACCCTCTAACCCAAAGCTTCAGCAACTTCAAAGGCATTATATTTTCCTGCACACATGCTTGTTCTTACTTTGTTACTCTGACTGAAATGAGCTTCTAACCCCCATACACTGAATAAGCCTAACTCACAGGGTATGAACAGAACAACATTATTTTATAGCTCAGTGTCTCTTTGTTTTGTTTGTTTATTTGTGGGTTCTTTAAAATTATCCATTGCAATTTTATTATCCATTAGGAAGCTTAACTTAAAAACCAACAGCACAGTAAAAAGATGTCATTTCTGTTGATAGCAGAACAGGTTTTGAAATATATTTTGTTTTAAATGTATTTAGTCTGTATATAATCTTTGTAAAAGATGTATATATATTTTTGTCAACCCTTCATTAACTTTATTTAACATAATTTTTATTGTTGACACTATTATATGTGTCCCCTAATGCCCCCTTTGACAACCTCCACCCAGACCCCTCCCACACTCCCTCTGGAAATCACCACACTTGTCTGTGTCCAAGGGCTTTGTACATATGTTCTTTGGCAAATCTTTTCACCTTCTTTCATCCAGTGCTCCCCCACACATACCCTCTCCTCTGATATCTGTAAGTCTGTTCCATGCATCCATGTCTCTAGCTGTATTTTGTTCATCACTTCATTTTGTTCATTAAATTCTACATACAAGTGAGATCATATGGAATTTGTCTTTCTCTGGCTGGCTTTTTTTACTGAGTACAATAATCTCCAGGTCTATCGATGCTATAGCAAAAGGTAAGAGTTCCTTCTTTTTGTAGCTGCACAGTATTCCACTGCATAAGTGTACCACAGCTTTTTTATCTACTCATTGATTGATGGGCACTGGGGCTGTTTCCAGATCTTGGGTATTGTAAATCACACTGCAATGAACATAGGAGTACATATATTCTTTCTCATTGGTTTTTCGGGATTTTTAGGATATATTCCCAGAACTGGGATCACTGGGTGAAAGGGCAGATGTATTTTTAATTTTTTTAAATTCATCTTTATTATTGAAAGTATTACAAATGTCTTCCTTTTTCCATCAATCCCCTCCACCCTGTTCCCCTCCTCCCAGGCCCTCACTACACTATTGTGTGTTAATGGGTTATGCATCTATGCACATAAGTTCTTAGGTTAATTTCTCCCCACCCACCCACCTTTCCTCTGAGATTCATCAGTCTGTTTGATGCTTCCATGTCTCTGTTTCTATTTTGTTCATCAGTTTATTTTGCTCATTACATTCCACATGAGTGAGGTCATGTGGTACTTGTCTTTCTCTGACTGGCTTATTTTGCTTAGCATAATACTCTCCAGGTCCCTCGATGCTGTCCCAAAGGGCAAGTGATCCTTTCCCTTTTACAGCTGCATAGTATTCCATGGCACGAATATCCCAGATGCTTGGTATGATTTCAAACTTCTTGAACTTGTAGAGACTTGTTTTGTATCCTAACATGTGGTCTATCTTTGAAACTGTCCCATGTGTACTTGAGGAGAATGCATATCCCACAGCTTTGGGGTGAAATGTTCTGTAAATGTCAATGAAATCCATCTGATCTAGTGTGTCATTTAGAGCCACTGTTTCCTTACTGATTTTTTTGTCTGGAAGATCTATCCAATGAAGTTAACAGGGTATTAAAGTCCCTTGCTGTGACTGTATTGCTGTCGATCTCTCCTTTAAAGTCCTGCAGAAGTTCTGTGGGTTTTGGGGGTTTTTTTTGCTTGTGTGAGTCTTTTGTTCTAAGGTGGGTCTCTTGTAGACAGGATATATTTGGGGTTTGTTTTCTTATCCATTCAGCTAACCTATATCTTTTCAATGGAGCATTTAATCCATTTACATTTAAGGTTATTATTGGTAGGTACTTATCTACTGCCATTTTATTTCTTTATGCCTATGTTTTTCATTCTATTTCAACTTCTTATTACATCAGACTCTTTAACATTTCCTGCAGTACTGGTTTGGAGGTGATAAACTCCTTTAGCCTTTTTTTGGTCTGGGAAGCTCTTTATTTCATCTATTTTGAATGATAACATACATGCTGGATAGAGTAGTCTTGGTTTCAGATCCTTGTCTTGCATTAGCTTGACTACTTCATGCCATTCCCTTCTGGCCCGTAGTTTCTGATGAAAAATCAGCTAACAGTCTTATAGGAGCTCCTTTGTAGGCAACAGATTGCTTTCTTCTTGCTGCCTTTAAGATTCTCCCTTACTCTTGAATTTTTTGTATTTTTAATTATGATGTGTCTTGGTGTGGGCCTCTTTGGGTTTTTCTTGCTTGGAACTCTTTGTGTCTCCTAAACTTGTGTGACTTTTTCCTTCACCAGGTTAGGGAAGTTTACTGCCATTATTTCTTCCAAGAGGTCCCCTAATTCTTGCTTTCTACATCTTCTGGCACTCCTATAATGAGAATATTGTTACCTTTCATGTTGTCCCAGAGCTCCCTTAAACTGTCCTCCTGTTTTTTGTTTGGTTTGGGGTTTTTTTTGGTTCTCTGAGTGATTTTTTTCTGCTGTGTCTTCTAATTTGCTGATCCAATCCTCAGCTTCCTTATAATCTGCTGTTTATTCCTTCCAATGTTTTCTTTTAATTTCTACTATGTCATTCTTAATTTCCTTCATAGTTTCCATATGTTGTCTCATGCAGTTGAGCATTCTTATGATCAGTATTCTGAACTCTATATCTGATAGATTGTTTATCTCCATTTCATTTAGCTCTTCTGGACAATTCTTTTATTCTTTCATTTAGGGCTTGTGTTTTTGTCTCCCCATTTTGTCTGCCTTTTTGTGTGTTTTTTCTATGTATTAGGTGAATCTGCTAGAACTCCCAGTCTTTTGTATGGTCTCTGGTGCAGGTCAATGTCAGATGTTGTTTGAGACTCGCCTTGAGTATTCTGTTTGAAGTTTTCCACATTCCACAGCTTGTGGTTCCCTCTGCTGAGGCTGAGTGTGTCTGGAAAGGACCAAGATGCACACCAAGTCTGCTTTCCCAAGGCTTGGGTCCAGAAGCAAATCAGGTGAAGACTCAAAGCACCCAGGGGCTGATTATTATTCAGTCTCTTAATGAGCCTCAGGCTGTAGAAACTCCTAGGATGGGGCAAGAGGTTTGTTTTCCAACAGGATGGAGCAATTGTTTCCCCCCTCATCCCCCAGGCAAAAGTTGTTTGGATGGTAAATGCCTGCCTGAGACAGATATTCTCTACCATATTGGGAAATAACTCAGCAATGAATCCAGAAAGCTGCCCTATGAGTTCTATTCCCCAAGCCAGGAGCTCAGGATTCTCCTCACACAGAATCCTGTAATCCACTCTGCCCTCCCTCCACAGGAGCCCAAGGTGAGTGGTGGCACAGGAGGCTTTGTGCACTGTCCCTGAATTTCCAGCTGTCTCCCCATGGCAGAAAGAAACCCTGCTGCTTTTCATAGCCAGATGTTATATGGTCACCTTTCTCAGTTCTGATGCTCTGGGTGGGGAAGCCCAGCTTGGGGATTAGACCCCAGAGTTCTCAGTGGGAACCCCCACAGCTCAGATATCCCTCTGGACCTTCGGCTGCTGCCTGTGGGAGCCCATCCAGCCCTCTGTGCCTCTGCACTTCCTACCAGTCTCTATGCGGTCTCCACTTTAGGCAGTTGGTTATGAGGGTGCTCTCCAGCTAGTCTTCAGCTGAGGTTGATTATTCAGGATGATTTGTCTATATTTTAGTTGTAGTTCGTTCGGTCCTGGGAGAGTGTCAGTGTACCTTCCACTCACTCTGCCACAATCTTGGATTCTCCCCTTTTTAATTTTTTGAGGAAACTCCATACTCTTTTCCACAGTGTCTGCAGCAGTCTACACTCCCACCAACAGTGCTCTAGGGTTCCCTTTTCTCCACACCCTCACCAGCACTTGTTTATTGATAATTGATGGCAGCCATTCTGACAGGGGTGAGGGATACCTCACTGTAGTTTTAATTTGTCTCTCTTTGATGATTAGTGACATTGAGCATTTTTTCATATGTCTATTGGCCATCT